AATTGCTGCTATTTGGTTTGCGTTAATTACACATCTGCAACTTCATCTATGAAATTTGGACAGTCATTACTAACGGTAATGATAGTACTCGATTGAGTATTCCCTGCTTCAAATAATCTGGAACTCCATCGAATTCTTGCAAGTAAGAAAAAGGACTCATCACCATTTTCCATTTTGAACATTCATCTGTGTGAAGAGTAATACTTACTCTGTATGCGTTCAGCATTCTTTTCTCGGCTTTGATGGCTAACGCAATCACAGCTATGCCGTTCGATCGACTGATTAATGAACAAACGATGAGAACATCGATTTAAAACGATGTATGCAGAAATATGGAAAATATCAGAGGCAATTTTCACTCATCGTAATTTTCTTTTTGAAGCAAATCACTTCGTACAAATTCAAAAAACGATATGAAACAGTACTGCGATCTTGAAATCTGCTAGCGTAGCTCTGAATCTTTCTGTTTGGATTTCAGTCATGGATAAGCGTTATGTTTGCTACTTGTCTGTTCGCAGTGAACGGTGCATTAAGGATCAATATATCGTTACATTCCAACACTCTCTAGACTTAAGATTGTTCAAATGGCTGCGTTAGTCACTTCACTCAGTAAAAACTGGCACAGAAATTACCAACAACTGTGCAATTTATGAAAGTATCTCTCCGCAGAAAGCAAAACGGAGGAAATGTTTGCAAGGATGAACAGAAAAATCCCTTTCGTTCATGTCTGTCATGGCACATAAATATGGATTAGCAAGGTAAGTCAATGGCCATTTTATCGCCATCGTCGTCATAATCTCAGCAATTATTATGACCTGAGAGGTCACAGTCACCAAAAAGAGTGTGAGTAAGGCGCTCAGAAATATGAAAAATTGTGCAACGATAGGCCAGGATAAGCTGCATGCGTTCTGGTTTGAATTTGCTAACGTGTTTGCATTCACGATGAACAATATTCTTGTGGAGAGTACTTGAAAAAGGTTCGCCTTCATGGTTGACGAAAGGAGTGGCACACCTAATCTTGAAGGAGAACAGGAATCATGGCGATGTGGCTAACCACAGGCAGTCATTTGCCTTCCAACGACTTTGAAACTCTCACCTATATATTAGAAAATATAGTTCTGGAGCATTCTTGGGTAAACAGTGTCATATTTCTTGAAGGAAAAGGCTGTCAGACAAAATCAATGGGACCCGAAGAGCAGTTAGTCATAATAAGGCGATCCTCTGAATTGCAAATTGGAAAAAAACCCAACATCTCGATGACTTGGATCGAAATTAAGAAGTCATTTTAACTAGTACAACATCGAGAAATGTGCTGAATGGCTGAACTGAGGAATGAATCGAGGAATCACTGAAACATTACAACTTCAACGAGGCCTAATCAAGTCATCATTCTGAGCAGCGATGAAACAGTGGTGAACAACACTGCCATGCAACAAAGTCTCCTTGAGATCGATAAAGATCAAGCGAGGAAACTCTCAGGGAGATTCAATCTTGTCGCTTCTGCTTTGTCTGGTATTGAATCTACTCAGTTACTTGCCGAATTACACCAGGAAACAATGTAATTTGAAAGACGGCAGTGTAATATCGCACCTCCTGTACATGGACGATCTCAGGCTGTATATGAAATCAGTAAAAGAGCCTAATAATCGGATCCCAAACGGAAGAATCTTATATCAGGACGAAATTCGGTTTGAGAAATGTGGCATAGCCAAGATTAAGAAGGGAAAGATCAGGGAAAGCAACGGATTGACAATTTTGATTGTTTAAGTGGACAGCTTTCAATATCGACTGTTCAACAAATACCTTGGCGTGCTATAGTTTGACAGTGTATCAAACGAAAAAATAAAATTTGCGATAAAGATGAAATGCGAAAAAAGAATCCTTCACATCCCAAAGAGCTAGTTGTGCGGGAAGAACAAAAATGTGGCTACTGACCAGTATACGGTACTAGTGCTGGCCGATACCGGTGACATCGTTTCGAATGGACTCAAGCGGAAAGATTAAAACTGGATAGGAAAACAGGAAATATCTTAAACTTCTACGGGATGGTACATAAAAAGGCAGATAGGTACAGACTATATGTCGTGCTCGAAAAGAGAAAGAGAGCTTTGTAGTATCAAAGATAAACTAGAACTAGAGACGTTATCCCTAAGGCAATATCTAGAAATGACAGTAAACGATAGGGCGCTTACGGCAGTTAAAGTTAACGACCTGCACAAACTAGAAAGGCAACCACCTAGAAATGCAGAAAATCGACAGGAAAATGTCCAATGAAATGGTTGAAAGAATAAAGAGCTTCATGGACAATACCTTCAGCTTCCTGATGATGACATAGACGTCCACCAGACTTTCAACAGGCTATCCAGAAATGGACTCCATAGTTAAACATAATTCTAATAGCCGTTCAAGACCAAACGGCACTAAATAAGTAGTCACACATATCGAACATCCAAATCACGCAGCCGTAGTCAAAGTACAGACTGTGTCGAGTGACGGATGAGACTGTGAATCATGTAATTCCCTGGCTGCGAAGCGTTCGCGAATCAAGAAAGGCAGAAGGAAGGGCGCAACAACGCTGGAAGAATAGTCTATTGGCATTTGTGGAAGCTTGCTGGCTTAGCAGTGGCAAAACAATGGTGGGAACATCGGTCGAAAGGGGTGCAAGAGCCTGAGCAAGAGAAAATGCTATGACACTTTCCAATAAGGATTGAGAAAAAATTGTTCACTCATCATCCCGATATTGGTAGACAAAGCGAAAATGCGGACAGTGTTCCTTGATATAACAAATCTGGCTGAAAGGGCGTTATTAATGGGAGAAAAGGGATGCTGAAATATCAACAATTGAGCACGGAAGTAGAATAGATCTTGAGTGTAAAGAAGCTATTCATTCCTGTGGTAATCGGTATCCTGAGAGCAGTAAAGAAAGACCGTCTACACCTGCCTACGCCAATTTATGAATCGATAAAAGTGGATGAACTGAGGAATGTTACCCTGCTAGAAATTTCCAGAGTTTCAAAAGGAGTACTGCAGCACATTAACCGTTTGTACAGGGTTCGAGCTGAAATGATGTTCATACTACCTATGTTCTGTTTCAGGGAATGTGACTGATATTAATATAAAACAGAATATCTATAAGTTGCACAGTATGCTATTCTTGTTTATGCAATACTTGAATTAATTGATTTTCTAAGCGGTGCGCGCGTTACAAAGTTCATGGTGAGAAACAGTCGCTGGCAGCTGTTGCAACAGTAGGCACGGTTCTTTCTGCTGAATGCTTTCATGCGCTGCGGTTGCTGTTTATTCTACTGTGACCTTAATTGGGGCAAATTAGTTTTAAGTAGTTAGTGACGAACGATAAATCAGTGTTTATCTACGCATGTGCTGCTTATTCCGTCACTGTCCAGCCAGCCAACGCGATACATCGAAAGCACAGAAACTATGCTGACGTCGCATTACTAAATAAACTTTCTGCAAGGTTCTATTCGTTTGTTTGTTTGATCTGTAGCTGCAGTGAAAAGAACACAAAAAAAGTTGATTCGACAAAAAATGATCAGCAAGCAATATTCGCAAGGCTCGAAAGCCTGAGAACGTCACGTGTAACATTTTTCTGCTTCTTTCCTTCCCGGTCAAACGCGAAACACTCTGTCGGCCTTGGCGTTGGACACTAGTCTAATGAGCGCAGCAGACACGATGTTCTGAGTGCGATCCTTCTACTAGGTGTATACCCGGCATCTTACGTGAGATCCAAATGTATCAACGTTGTCATATGATGCTGAACCATGGATTTTTAGCATTCGCAGTTTAACATGGCACAAATCATCTATATCCTTTGTTAATGAAAGCATTTCACTTTGAGTGGTTGATTCAGAGCTAAAGCTGATGACAGCTATATTACGATCGACGCTTAATTCAGCCGCATTCGCAATTTCTTTCAGTTATCAATACAGGACGGTGACACCGTTGTGCATGCATCTTTCTTCCTTATGAATACCACTCTGTGGTAGGAAAACAAGAAACCACACCCAGTGCTTGCCAGACGGCTGTAGACTCTGCCTTTAAAATAAAACACTCGTGGCTGATAGCATGGAAAAGGGAAGATCAGCACTATACCATCAACTTCATGAAAAGAAAGACAGTAGAATGGCGTCATCATGAAACGGAAGGGAATACCGGCCTTCCAATGATTACTAACTTTCCTTTTCATCCACGTGCACGGAGTCCCGTTGATTTTTGTTCCTCACGCATGATATTGATGCTCTTTATCTAATTAGGCTTTTCAGTGAAGCTAATAAGTTCTTTGCTCCAGTCCGATGCCATGACACTGTTCCGTTAGCCAACGATCTCCGCTGATTTTGAGGTCCTCATTTTGCTTTGTATCAAGCACAACGGAAGACAGATATCATTTTTTCAGCGCCGCGCATTGAGGTCTCGATGCAGGCTCTTTGCCAGCTCAGACTTTCTCACTGTGACTATAGAAAACAGATAGCGAAGCACGGTCAACTGTGCCAAGAAACCGGCGATTGGACGCTCGAACCCTCGTCATCTGTCAACGGAACTACTGTAGCAAGCGCTGATCTCAAGCGGGTACTTGTCACAAGAGATGAATTAATTGATGTTACAGATTAAACTTTAAAAAATGCATATTCTTACAGCTACCTCGTCACTTAACTAAAACGTACCATGAACGTTGTTCATAATGCGTTGTTAAGCAGTGACTGGACAGCAGCAATCAAACGCCTATTAGCGGCGGCCGTTATTGAGCGTGATGCGACAGCAACCAATCAACGACAGCTGAAAAGGCTGAATTGCCATTGGCTACAGATGAAATTGCGCGAACCAACACTTCAGCTGACCAATTGGATGTTTATAAAGGCTGTATTAGTCGAACACTGGTTGCATGTTGATCTGTAATTTAAGTCATTTTGGCCGCGTTTTACTGCTGTCATTGACTGCGAGTTCTCTATAGCGCGTGGCTTTTGTGAAAAAGGTTACGCGACACCATGCTGAACTGCGATGCGCAACGCGATCCTAATGCGATGATGACCGCGGCCGATAGTAACAGCTCTGGCCAGACGGTTGGTAGCTGCGTGATGAACGCCGGCCTGAAGGCGGCGACCACCGAAGGTGGCCATATCAAGCGTCCGATGAATGCTTTCATGGTTTGGTCCAGGGGCCAGCGGCGCAAGATGGCGCAAGAAAACCCGAAAATGCACAACTCGGAGATCAGCAAGCGCCTTGGCACCGAATGGAAGAACTTGAGCGAAGCCGAGAAGCGTCCGTTCATCGACGAAGCGAAGCGTCTGCGATCGGTGCACATGCGCGAGCATCCAGA